GAACGTGTACCGACGGCTGCGGGGCTAAATAATATGTTCAACCGTTGTTGCGTCGTTATAGCGTTTCGGGAAAAACAAATTTGAACATTAAAAATTGTTGCACACGTACGCTGTTGCGTGCGATTGAATTTGTCACCAATCGAGCGGTTTGTTAGCTGCAGCTACAATACGCACCCTCGAAACGCGACGGATAAGCGTATGATAAGATCGCGCGTGAACACCATCGAAAACATCGAAATTTACTACAAAACCGTCACAAAACCATGTATACAGATGTACGTTTGTGTCCGAAGTATAACGAGACGACTGCAAACGTATTCGACGTTATTTTTATGTGCATGTCGATACGTTATGGATAAAAGTTAGTACAATATGAAACTTTACGAACTCAACCTCGCGTCGGTCAAGCTTTATCGCGTATGAAATAATATTTCATCTGCACATGATACGGAACAGAATGCTTAGCTCCAGTATCATGCGATTGCATTTTTATTTATCTACGATTCGTAGATAATAACAACGCTGCGTTTGATTCGAAACATTCCGCGCACGGCGATTGACTTCGGAGAGCATTTTTTTATTTAGCGATATCAACAAATCGGTACTAGTGCCGAGTTTAATGCAGTCCCTTGTAGATAATACGAGCGATGCTTATGCGCCCAGATTTCTGTCGAGTAGGATCAAGTGGACTAAAATCCATTGTTAATATTACGAATATAGCCTTTAGCAACATGAATATAACTAATTCAATGTAATTGTGCTGATCCGACGTTTGTTCTCCGTTATTGTATACTAACCCGGAACATTACCTAAATATCATTCCTTTCGGAGTAGGCTACAAGAGCACAATACGAAAACCTAAACGGAAATACGTTACAAATATACTCTAACACCGCGGCAAGTTGTTAAATGGTATATTAATGATCTCGAGATTATTATAAACGTATTACGATAACGTTTGGGTCCATTCAAATACTTTTTAATACGCCAATGTAAATTAAACCTTACAATGTCTGAACATTAACTATCTTTAGCAAATTAATATAAAATTAAACGATACGAAACGTTTTTGCAAACTTAAACACAATATTAAAACTAAGTTAATTAAATAACAATGAAGACACGTTTCCAGCTAATATTATGTATACCTAATATAAATATTTGATTTTAAAATTATTTAAATAATTATGGATTGTGGTTATTAATTGTTTGGAAATTACTCGACATTAGTTTTATTAAAAATTTAAATTACGTAATTATCCGTTAAATTTATTAAATTATTTTAAGACTAAAATATTGTCCTAAATATAAATTTTAATGAAGTTCTATAATGTTATTTATCAATAATGTCTAAATATATTTTAAAATCATCGAAACTATAAAAACATACAATTTTCAAAAATATAAGAAAAACAATTTGATATCGTTTTGATTTTTACCACTTGGTTTATTTGTTTTTCAAATAAAACGGCTTTTGTTCCATAATAATATACTTATGATGCATAAGAAAATTATATAATTTTTAACGAGAATTTTAAAACCGTACAACTTTTTTAATTATTCTAAATCTTGTATTTAAATGACTTTTATAATATGAATACATTTTAACTAAGAACTTAGAGTTTTTAACGGAAAGAGGACATTATTTGTTTTGTGTCAAAATATATTGTTGAAACAAACAAAAAAAAAAAAAAAAAAATCAGCAGTAAAAACGATTAAAAAGATTTCAATTACTACTACACTTGATTTGGAAAGAATACATAAAACACAGTTTAAGAAGAGAATTTTTAAAATCTCAACAAGTAGATTAAGTAGCTCAAAATACACGTGTACACGTTCATGTTAAGTTCAATAATTCTTAACAATCTTAAATCCATTTAGAACCATTTTAGTGAGCTTACTGTTTGTTTAAAAATCAAAACAATAGTATTTCGATTTTTTCTCGCGTAAGGAAATATCGAACCGAAATATCGAATCCCTCTGTATAAGTATGGACATCTTATTTTATTTTCTTAATTGTTTTAATGGTTGAAATGTATACCATATATTTTAACTCATTTTGAGTGCTTGTTGTTCAGTCGTGTTGTCTTCATAGATATTTAATAATAGGAGTTAGAGCGTTGCACTCAGACGCCCCATCAACGGTGTTTCAACAATCTTGAAAAATATACCAACACAGTGCGGTGCGAACTAACATTACGAATCATGACGTTTGCACACGAAATAATAGCAAAAAATTGATTTTGATTAATGAATCCACCTTCTCGACAATGATTTATTTTCGAACGCACCTCGTGAGCTGTATACGAAAACACGTCTTTGTGTTGTTTCATATGAATACAAGTTAGTATAAAAATGATTTAGTAAAATAACAGTGTGATATAAAAAAAAGTTTTGGCTCAGTTATTTTTTTTTTTATCATTGAACGTTTAAAATTGTTTTTACGTAGGTTTCTTATTTTTTAGTGAAAATTAATTATATTTGTTAATAAATATGATAACAATCTAAACAGAGGTTCCCAAACTGTGCACTGCAGTGCTTAAAGTTCACTATGAGCACTTTCTGGGGGCACAGTGACTCGGGGGACTGATTTTTGTTTATTTAACATTGAATTTTATAAAAAAATGTAATTCGTTTATTCCGATTTGAATCTCATAATAACCACGTATATTTAAATAACATAGGACGCACAATTTCTTGTATTGACATTAATCAGTATAATAGTAATAGTTATATGGGTAATGATGTTTATGGATCATACCTTTATTATCCTATTATGTCAGTCACATGTATAAAACATTATAGTCAAATATTCCATGTAAAAGTCTGATGGATATCTCGCGGTAAAGTTTTTGTCCGGCTCATAGAATAACGAAATTAAGTTAACGTTAAATTGGCCTTGTACTTGGATGATATTTTTAGCAAAATGAATGAACTAATTTTTTCCTTGCAAAGAAAAAAAATCTGACAATTTTTGATGTTAACCACAAAATAAGTGCGTTTAAAAAGACAATTGGTTTTTAGGCGGAATGTAAGAAGGTTAGAATGTTTTCCAATAATGCAACCACTTTTGGAGGAAAACGAAGAGTATTCTTCAGATATTGTAATCAAAAAGATTTTAAAGCACCTCAGATAGCTAAAAAATTTTTAGAGAAAAGTTGTTGAAATAACACGAATGTGTTAAAAAAACACAGCTGAACAACCCATTCACATTTCGTATAAAATCTTCAAGCCTATCTTCAGCCGAATACAAAATTTAATCGACTTGACTTCAGATCCAATATTAAAAAAAAACCCTTCAACAAAAATTCGTACACCGAATTCTAGTTACGTTTGAAAGCCAATAGTTAAAAACTTTTTAACGAAAAGACGAAAACATTAATGTTAGCTTTTGCCATTACATAATTATGCAAGTCAGGATTTTCGGCACACGCAGCCACAAAAACCAAATACCGCAACTGCTTCAACGTAGAATCTGACTTTTGACTTCAGTTATCAAAAATAAAACAGAACATTACTCGACTTTGCAAACAAAAGTAACCACATTACTCATTAGTCATGTTATTTAAAACCCTTTTATAATAATTTATCTCTCTTTTAATAATTTTTATTATTTTTTTCAGGTACAAAAGTGTATTGATTTTAAAATGATTATATTGTAATATACGTTCAGTAAAATTATAAAAACTGGTTATCAATAAGAATTAGTATTAAATTTTATGTACATTTATTATAATGGATGTATATGATTGTGTCATATGGTATTTACGACAGAATACCATGACTGAAATTAAACCAAAAAAAAAGAAATCGTCGGAATAAAAGTTTGAGAACTTATGGTTTAAACAATATAATCTCGTTCGTAGTACTCAACATAATATACAACTTTCAACTTAGGAGCATAATTTCAAAATAAAAAAAACCTTTTTCACCTTGCAACCATAACTTTTGAGTCCAATATTATTTTCTTTTCTAATAGAATAATTATAATTATTATATTAGAAAAAATAATAATATAGATATATGTGGTTCTAACCGGGTTTTGTGGTTTTTAAATAAAACTTAAATGAAATTGTATGAACCGAAAATCGGCTATATATACATATATAGTTTCAAAACATTTTCGTTCTAGCAAATTTTAATTATGTTCAAAATATTTCTAAAAAACAATGTAAATAGGTAGCCAAGTGTTACGCCGAAGAATCAGTATCAATAATCATTTCATGATAGGAAAGGGACTGAGGAAAAACAACATCTCTCAAGGCCCTAATATTCTATCTTTATAATTTACAGTTTTACATACATGTATTTTTACCAATGTTACTGTACGTTGACTGTACGTAGTTCTCAAAAAAGATGATAAAAAGAAAAATAAGTATGTATAATCCATACAATATCCACTGCAATGCTCATTTGATATCACTGGCGTTGACATCTACTCATAATTGAAATATTCGACAGTCGACCGAACTCTTAAATATTTACTACAGTTATGTTTAAACTATACGTATTGTAAAATTTTTTAGATGGTCCAATAAATAATTAAAGGAAAAAATAACAATCATTATTGATACCCCTCCGGAATGTGAAGTCTAAAAAAAATGTTGTCCATCATATTTTACGCTAGCGGCAAACGATAGTTGTATAAAAATGGAGAAAAAATATACTTTCCTATTGTAGTAACTCCAAGGCCGTATTTAGGAATTTGCCGCCCAGAGCGAAAAAACGAAAAAACAAAAACAAGACGTATTAGGACTGACAGATCGTTAATAAGAAAATATTAGCCATTCCCTTAAAGTACACCACCCGGAGCAACTCTTATCCCCGTCGTGCCTCCTCCTATATATTATAGGAGATCCAATAACGATTCGCTTTCTAGTAAGTCGCCGTACGTGCGTGCGATAAAGTATGCGTTCGGTTAGTGTTTGTTTATATTTTTCTCGTTTCTTCGTTACGGTTCCGTAAAGCGTTTACCAAACATGTACCTACATCACACGTACCTGTTCTCGACTTTCTTGAGACGTATTTTGTGATGGGCCAGAAACTTTTTGTTGACCATGTCCAAGGCCAAGTCGACCGCTGGCCCGCACCGCTCCAGATCAAACGGCGAGTCCAGCCGGGTGGTCATCAGCACGCCCACCTTGTACTCGACCACGTCGGCCGCGTCGGCCGCGACGGCCATCGGCATCGGCAGCAGCAGCAGCAGCAGCCACGCGGACACCGCCCACCCCGTCGTCAACATCATTCGGCAGTGATCGCGTACGGTGGCGGCAACGTTCAGCGACGGGCAGCGGTAAGCGATCGCTCTTGACGGCGACTCAGGCGGTTACTGCGACGGCCGGTGGCTGCGATGACGGCGAGACGTGGACGCCGAGAGGATCGCACTGGCCGCCGCGACCGAGTGTACGCCGTCCACGAGGCACGCTCCCGCCCGCCCGTCCTTGCGCGCATGACCGTCGTCGCACTTGTTGAATTTCCTTGCCGCGAGCGCGTTGGTTTTTCGCGCCGCGACGCCCGTCCGGCGCGTGCTGTCAACCCCCTTCCCTCTACCCACAACGAAACTACCCTCGCCCAGTCACACGCTCTTCCTCCCCCCCCCCCCCTCCCCCGATAAGTCGCTACCGCCGTTCAGTCAACAAGTGCAGTGCCCCGACGAGGACCCGTCGGATGAGCGAGAATAAGGGATGGAGACGGCAACGGTTAAGAACTACACGTAACGCGTAGGCAGGTGATAACGTCGCGGTCGCAGTGCGGTCAGGATTTTTCCAAGGAATAAAAGAGCATCCGAGACATTTATATATTTTCTAATTTTGTACGGTGCGGGGTGTGCAGTGAAAAATCACATAGAGCTGGTAAACGCATAGCGGTTTAAACGTTAAAAGTATTGAACATGATAAAATAATCGCAATGTGTTTTATTTTATATCTTACGGTCAGTGCTGAACTTAAGGGTCTCAGGGCCCAAAGATAGTAATTACAAAAGAAGGAGCTTTTAACTCAAAAATTTTAGAACTCAATGTCTGTTATCTTCTGTATTAGATCATAAATTATTTTTAATTGTTTTATACATCCAAAACAGTGTAGTGAAACATAACATTAATTTCCCAGTTTAATACCTAACTCATAATAATATTATTATAAGTCTATTTCTACATAATATTATAAAAAAAAATAAGTATTCTATACGTGAAATATTTCTCCATGTTGATACGTTTCGTGTGACTTTCTTTTTATTTCTGGCCAAAAACCCGAGCCTCGGGAAGTTAAGAGCCCCTAGGGAGCTATCAAGTTTGCCTAGGCAAAATGTCAACACTGCCTATGGTTTATGATACCTATACATATATATCAATAATAAAAACAATTCTAGACAGATTTTCAGTGATATTATAAATTACAGTACGCGCGTTTATTTGATACTTGTAGACAATTCTTATCCCGAAGAGTCGCGTCATTCGAAAAGACCGCGGAATGATTACGCGAAAAATGTGTTTAAGAAAAAAATAATTGTCAATCCGCTATAACCACGTGAACGTTATGCAAAACACGATATAACTACAAGCAGAAATTGAGTGCTGCGTTTTATTTTGTTGTGTTATTCTATCATGTTATAGACATTCATTTGGATTTGAATGCGTTACTTTTGAAAAATGATTCTGTCAAACAAAAGCTGCAATTTAAAGTAATACGTATGGGAATAATAAATTTATAAATATGTTCGGTGTACATAATGATCAACGATGCAGTGTTTCATACGCTAAATTCGAATTGAAAAACATCGAAAACTACGCATAGCATCGTTTCAGTTTAGCCTAGTTTGAAATTTTCCCCGGACTCCTATCTAGAAAACTTCTCGAAAAATTGATTGCGTTTTCAGATACAACGTAAGATCTACGCGTTTCACGCTCGGTTCAAAATCGAAAATAATTTATCAAATATAATAATACGAACATTTAAGTAGTTGTATTCCCAACAGACTGGATTTGGAAACCACCGGTGTTTGAAATGCACTGCAAATGCACGACACGCGATACGCTCTCAATAGATCGCAAAGTTTGCCAATGTTGGATGAACAGATATTGTGAGTGCATATGCGTGTGAGTAGTACTGGGGAGGGGGAAAGGACGAGCGAATAAGTTCGTGGACGTATTTTTACGTTCAACCCTTTCTTCTCTCCCCGACAGATGGAAAATGAATAATGCGCCACTGCCTGGATTTCCCGTAATCGATCGGATCGATCGTGTACTGTTCGCGTGCATAACTGCCACCTACTCGTATCTGACGATTTGGAAATAGCGAAATGGAGAAGTGAGAGAGAAATATGGAAAACGTCAACCGATCGACTGTCACCACTGAAGCTGCGAAACTAGACATAGATTAGGTGTGCGACGGATGACCTCTTAATAAAATGTATACAGAAGGACTATTGGAAAAACGATAGTTTATTGTTATACGGTGATCAAGCTCAACCGTGCTGACGGATTCCGTCTTAATAAAAAGCGTTTCGAAAAAAATACGTGCAAAATGTACACGAACATTTTTTTTTTAACTTTTGATATTAATGACGTACTACGAATACAATGTTATTATTATTTATTTTGATATTGAAAACATTTCTTCGCACCGATCGGCTCTAAAACTACTCCGTAAATGATAGGCCATGCTCGGTGTATAGCACCCCACAGTTGTTAAATATACTAAATCAAAAGCGGTACAAGAGAAATTTTTAGAACTAATACTCGTAGACAAAACGGTGACGATGATAAAAAAAAAAAAACCATACGATCACAGTGAAAACTTTACAGCACGCGTGACGAAACAATGATTCTACACACAATATTATATTAGGAATAGACGCCAACAATACGGTTGATTTTCGTACATAATGTTTTCGGTTTTGACTTCAATAGGCGCTCAATAATACTTTCCATCACCTTTGAAAACTTTACGGGATCACCACCATTGTATTTGCATATATTATTATTATTATGTTCGTAACAGTTGCTGTTGTTCCGTATGGTTTTGTTTCCGAGTAACGCGTGATGCAGTACCAGACTTGCATATTTATTGTAAAACCGTCGTCTTATACGTGTGTGCGTCGGAATATTATAACATGTAATATAAATTCAAAGTTCATTCTCGAACATAGAACATTTACCCGAACGATTTTCCGATGGCGACAGTTTTGTGTCGAAATCATTACGAAAAAAAGTTTTTCGACAGACCGAACTTTGCGGCCCGTTGCCCACCGCTTCGGGTTTGCCTGGATCACAGCTGGATTCAAAAAATACCGTCCAACACTGTCTGCAAGTCAGACATTTTAAAAACGTTTTAACACCGGTACTATACTATTGCGTCTTCGATATTTACATATAATTACTTCGGTTCGATTTTTCACAAAGCATATCAATCACTTAGTACTCGTAGAAGTTGTACTTTCATGTGCGAACATCAAACACGTTGAATTTTATGCACAACATGTATTGCCTCCGATAAAATGAATTATAATTATAAAAAATGTGTACTGCACAGAGTTTAATGTTGATTGTAGTATATTTAATTGTATACATTACGAACGAACGTCATCGATCGGTAAATTAGACGGCGACACGCGCTACAGGGCGCTAAAACTTTCTAAAACGGTGTTCTCTTCCGGCATGCGTCTCAATGGAAACAATAACAGTGGTACGCTTGCAGCGGCGTCGCGAATTACCGAAGTTTCAGAATTTTCGTTTCGTATCGGACAGTAATGATTCGCGACCAACGTCGGCCGTCAGTGGTTCGAACCGCGAAATGCGTCGGGAGAAAATATTTACTAACCACGTCTACGGGCAGACTCGGAAAAGAAACAGTGCCCTGATGAACCGCTCTCCTTCCGGAACGATAGGAATCGCGGCGGTGGCGGCACGCATCAAACGTTGACTTTTACGACTCCCGAGACTGTCGGTTCGCCCGTATTTGTCACAAACGCGCGCGCGTCGTACATTACAACCGTAAAATATAGTTGTTCCCGCGACCGTATGCGATCCGTCACGGCGGTCGCGCGTCTTGCCCGTACGGCTTTTGAATACGTAAGTCCAAGCGTGTCCACGAGTGCGTAACGATGTCATCACATCGGGTCGTCCCCGGAACAGCAAATCCTCTACGAGAAACGACGGACGGGCCGGACTTCTTATTATCGTTACACCGCACGTGACGATAGCGCGCGTACGTGCGCGCTATAACGGTGCACAACAGCCGAAGACGTTGTTGGTAGCCAACAGCCAGACGTCTCCGATTTGCAAAACTGTTCAGCGGGGAGTAAAAACTGTTTTAAAAATAAACTAGAAAACATATTCGAACTGAATTTTTACAGTTGAAACTGATAAACCAACAAACAAACATTCAATTTCCATAACCCTTAAATCCAAAAAATAAAACTTGGACGTGTCCGATTGTTGCACCGTAAAACTTACTTGACTCACTTTAAGTTCATAAAAATAATGCGATTTATATAGAAAATTATTTGGTTGATAATTTACGTTGTTTGAAACTGGTTTTATAATCTATAATATCTTATATTTTAAAATTAAATAATATATCATAATATACCTATTAATGTATTTTTTAGTTTATTTTTTTTATTTTTTTTTCGACTGTAATGATACTCGAACAGAGACAAATGAACGTTTATAATGTATTGATTTACATATGCCTCAATCGGAAGTTATGAACATACAAAACAAAATATAATAATTCAAAAATGAAAAAATTCATCTATCCAGTTAAAAAATATTTTTACCCTTAAAAGAAATTCTTTTCTATCGCACTTCTAGATTATTAAAAGAACCCCCGCGTCAATTGTACATTTTGCCGTTTTTAAGATATAGTAACCAGGGACTGGTATTTGAACTATACGATTATATACGTTATATTAATGTGTTACGGTACGACACAGTGTTCCTTAGTGTTATCGCAACATACTTTAATATAATAAGGAATTCCTTGAAATAAATTTTGACTTAAAAAGTACCTACATAGTGATTCAATAATAACTATCAAAGAATATGAAGAAGAAATTCGTACTGTATTATCACTCTTATCCTGTTAACTACAACTTATAGCCAAAAATTTCTCAGACTACTGCCTTAACATAATTTTGTATTATTGTTTTTTTTTTTTTTTTTGTACTTCTTAACAAAATTATTCAATCGATATTTTCAAAACAAAAAATCTTAGAAAACATGAAAATTTCAATTTCCTATAAATA